ACAGGTGGTTTAGTGAGAAACCGGATTCTGAACGGGCAGAGCTTCTAAGCCGAAAGCTCTATTTCTCGAGGCTTTCTGACACTCATCAGCTTCACTACTAACACCTAGGAAGTGATAGAGAAAAGGCTTAGCGACATTGGGGGGGTTTGGGAGAGAGTTGGATGAAGAGGTGTGATGAAATGGGTGAATTCCAGCTCTATTTATAGGTTATCTAGGGGCCCTTCACATCGTGACACATGACCCTCATGTCATGAGCTTGTGTAGGCACCAAGGCTTTGCCTGGTGCTGACACGTGGTGCAAGACGCAGGTAAAACAACCAATCTTAAAAAAAATTGTTAGTTTTAAATACGAGCTCCGTTTTTTGACGTTCTTTATATCCACACGTAGGTAGTTCTAAGTACTACAACTTTCTTTTGGACCCCATTGGCTAGTTCTTGGCCGATATTAAATTTAACAGTCTGAGAAGATTCACTGTTAACGATCGTGTAATATTCATAACTTCTACATACGAACTTCGTTTTCGACTGTCTTTTTTATCGTTCAACTCCTATTAATGAGATCTTCAATTCTCATTTAGATCATTTTGGCTAAAATGTAACTCCCCGATTCTCAGGTATTGACTAAATACGAGTTTGGGTTAAGCCCTACTCGATGAGTCGGTTGATCTACTCGTCGAGTAGCAGTGGGAAGGATCGCGGGTTAAGTCACCTACTCGACGAGTCCATATTGGGACTCGGCGAGTAGGAGTTGGCAGCTGAAACCCTAAATCTCGGGGTTGTGCACCCTATTTAAGGGAACACAAACCTATTTTAGCCTCTTTGCAGTCTCTTATCAAACCCTAATACGTGTGTGTGTGCGTTGTGTGTTTGAAGCCTTGGAAGAGGATTTTGGTGAAAAGAGATTGGGAAGCAAGTGGTTTGAAGCAACGAGCTTGGGGGAAATCTGAATCTATTCCATTTGTCATCTCTTGGGAAGGTATCAAGTTGTTATCCTCCTTCTATTTCGTTCTAGACCTCCTTGGTTGGAGATTAGGGTTCTTGGTTGGATTATAAAGTCATTTTCTAGAGTATGAGCCAAGATCTAAAGTTGTAACTTCAGATCTGAACTCTCTGAGGATTGAGGGACCATAAAGCTATTAGTTTCGGCAAGTTTGAGCCCCTCCCTATGTGTAAAACCCCATTTCAAGCATAGTTTGGACTTTTTGAGACATTGGAGCCTTGCATACACGTAAAGTTTGCAACTTTACGTGATAAGAAGGCCTAAGGAGGTTGGATCTACAATTTGGGGCCTTACCATTGCTTAAAAGTTGTTTTCATGATAAAATGACTAAAGGAACTCGGCGAGTCACATGAAGATGGTCGTGAACTCAACGAGTTGGAAGAACAACTCGGCGAGTCCGATGAAGATTGACATAAGAATCGACGAGTTGAAGAACAACTCAGCAAGTCGGATGAGTTTTAACCAGGACACATTTGCATGTATGTCCATCGAGTTCAAGGAGGGAACTCGACGGGTGGCCTTAAGGGTTGATCGAGATTTGAAGGAACTCAACGAGTCATTCCAATGACTCAGCGAGTTGGAATGTGCTTCAGAGAACTCGGCGAGTACCCAAGTGTACTCGGTGAGTTAAGGTCAACATGGACTGTTGACCTTGATTAGGGACTTTGACTATAACCAGGGGTTGACTAGTGGTTTATGGAGCACCTTATAAGGTGAAGGACTTATGAGCATGTCATATTATGGTAATAGGGGGTGGAGTCTTTGACAAGTGATCGGAGAGCTTTGATTATTTACTGAGCTGACATCTTCGAGGTGAGTTATCCTTATTATACTAAGGGATCTAAGGCACCAAGGCCGACCCATTGGATTTGATATCCCAGTAGTTATTGATATGATAAGTTGAGTCAGTAATGTATGTCAGTTGATACGCTAGTCGGGTAGATCTGTAGGACTGCCTGTGATACTGATTGATTATCTATATGTGCATTTATCTGTTACATGTTGACATGTTATGTGGGGTGGGTTGAGGTTGTACTACTCCGTGCAGTAGCCAGCAAACCCGAGAGTATTCCATATATGAGCTGAGGTCCCGGTAGGCATTCCAGACTCATACTGAGGACTCGGGAGCATTCTAGATACGAGCTGAGGGCCCAGTAGGCATTCCAGACTCGCATTGAGGGCTCGATGGCATTCCAGATACGAGCTGAGGGACCGGTAGGCATTCCAGACTCGTACTGAGGGCCCAGGGGGTAATCTAGCTTGTAAAGTTGTGGGCCTAGTGCATGTTGTACTGTTTTATTAATATGATATGCTAATGTTGATAATGCTATGTGCATTGTATGTTTATCGGTATTTGGGGGTAACTCACTAAGTTTTCGGGCTTACAATTTCAGTTTATTGTTTCAGGTACATCAGAGGATCGCGGCAAGGCGAAGGCGTGATCGTACTGCTCCTCCTATTATATTTATGTTTATGGGAAAAACTCTGATAACCAATATTTTGAAAACAAAGTTGTAATGTTTTGATGAACTTGACATGTATAAAAAATTTAAATTGGTTTGAAATTTTTGGGTGTTACATAAAAATTGATCTATCTAAAATTCGATTTCTGAGCTATATATTGCTACGTTGAAACTTCGAAAAATTATAACTTCCTCTTGTGAAATCAAATTTCGACGTTATTTATATGCATGCTCTCGGTTTAACGAATACTCTGACTTTCGTTTAGATTACTAAGGATAAAAATTAATTTATCAAAAAATTACTTTTTACGATATGTAGAGCTATAAAATCACGAAATTTGAAGAAGTATAACTTCTTCATACGAAGTCAGGTTTTAGCGTTCTTTATATGTACGGAATCCTTGTCACATACACTATAACTTCTGTTAAGATTATTTTTCCTAAATAATATTCTATTAAAAAGTCATTTTTAACGCTTATTATCTCTAAATTGTCTACCCCGAATCTGTGGACGTTACAGTAGCCCATGGCACCTAGTTGTAAAACCCTTGGGAAGCCCATGACATTTCAGGGAAAAGACCTTAGGGGTAGCTCATGACACTTGTATGTATAGTATGTGGTATTTTTTTAGAGCTAATTAAGCTTTGTGCTTACATTTTTGTGGTTTAACATTTTCAGGTACTTCCAGTTCGAAAGGGAATAACCCAACATGATCATACAACATCCCCCTTATGATTCCGCATTTAGGACTATTTCACTTTCATGATTTTGATACACTGTATTATGGTTGATTTTGAGACACCCAATGTATGGAATTTATGATTTTAAATAGAAAAATTTTATCTATGTTTTTGGAATGTTACATAAAACACCTTTTAACCCAATAAAAAAAGACGCAAACGGGAAAGGATATGTGTCTGTAGTCAAAGTGGATATTTGTTCTTGATGGTTAGGTTACCTTCTTTAGCATCCGATAATCACAAAGTCAGAAGAAATATTTAACAAATTAGCAATGACAGCTATTCATAATGACATATTAGAGAATATTGATCATGAAGAGTTGTGGAACAATTTTGCTTCCAATTGCCCTACGATATATATATATATATATATATATATATATATATATATATATATATATATATACTAGCCGTTACCCGCGCACAGCAGCGGGGACAAATAACTTCTTTCAACGATATTTTTTTAAAGAAAAATGTTATGTTCCAAAAGAAAGTTCATGCCGTGGGTGAGAGGAATGGCGGTAGTCGTGATAGTGGTTGGTTGAAGGCGGAAGGAGGTAGAGCGGCTGTGGTGGTGGTGGTTATACTGTCTTGGTTACTGGTTAGGGTTCTTCGAGAGAGTGTGCGTATATTTCTTACTTTGAAGGGATTACGAAGATAAATATTATGAGATGTCTTGTTACCAATGTGAGAAAAAAGATTCTCTATAAATTGTTGACATTGACCGCTTCAAATGTCTGAAGTGTTGAGATTGACGGGTTCAATTTGCAAATTAATTTTTCTATTAATTTGATACGAGATTTTTAGGGGATAAAGGATAAGGTTAAAGTTTTAATATTATTATATTATAAATGGGTTGTACTTCAAGCTTAATAGTTTGGACGTCTTAAAAAATAATATTATTATATTCAATCTATTTATAGAAATAGTTAGATTTCTTTTATAAGTAGTAAAGATATATTATCGTTCATTTGTTTCGATTGTTTTATAACATTTATCGAGTTACTTTCTTATGAACAAATTTTGTTTATATTTAAAAAAAAAAAAAAATAGGGGTCCAATTTTATTTTTTGTACATGGACTTCAAAATCAACGAGATGCCCCTGAAAAGGTTAATCTTTAAATTCCTAAACCAAATATTGTACAATTAGATATTTTTAAGAAATGCAAATATGATATTTAAATGTTAGACTAGACAAATATGATATTTTCACGTTTAATAAGGGTATATACGAAATTCTACCAGAAAAATACAATAACAAAACATCAAATCGCATAAGAATTAGCTACGAAGATGTAAGATGGTGAAGAATCAAAGTTGTTTCGAACAACAACCTCCGATAAGCAAGAAAAAAAATACAAAATATGTTATCGTCAAATAGGTCTCATGTATATTAAAACATCTGCTCACCATGAATCATACGAGAAAATAAATAAATCATTAACTAAACAAAATGAAACTTGTAAGTGTTTGATGACTAAAAGGAAAAATAAGATATAAACAATAAAACTATAAATGAAGAGGTTTAAAGGTAAACATTAGACATAATATGCGTATCAAATACTAGAGAATATTGTTGGTGATATGTGTTACCAATATCGCTTAAGTGTAATGGGATGAACATGTTGACCAAATGTGATTTTGAAAAATATTGAACAAGTAAGGATAGTACGACATGCTCTTGATTTAAAATACATTGTTATTTAGGGGTGAAGCCCCTAAACCATGGGGGTCCAAGGCAGCACCCCTATCAGAGTCCAAATGGCAGAGCCCCTAGCTAGTTACGAAACTGCCATATGGCAATTTTGGCAATTTTTCAGACAACAGACAACGGGGTTATTTCCTATCTTATTGGTCATATGAATATGGTACATAGATCATAACATCTTTTTATTATTTGTTCTTGGAACTTTTCTAGTTTTATCTGATTTTAGATTTCGATTGTACCATTGAAATGCTTTAGTCTGAAAGTGCAATCACAACTTTCAGTAATCTAAATAATCGAAACCTTGAATTTCTAAAAAATACAACATTCAGTAAGAAAGGAAGCAAAAGACAGACTCATAGTAATGCAAACATATAAAATATACAACAAACAGTGAAGCAAATGACATACTTAGGAATGTAAAAACAAGCAAAGGTTGACCTCAAAGTGATACATGTATAAATAATGTAATCATACAGTAGCAATAAAGCATAGAGCAAACACTAGCCATAAAATTGGAGTAGAGACTAGCAAATACAAGCGAAGGAACAAAAGTACTCATCAAACACAAACAAAAGCCAACTTGAAAAGATTACAAGTACAAAGAAAGGTTAAACTCAAAAGACTACTCATATACTACTCTAGTAACTTGATCATATGCATTCATGCCTCTTATCTGATCTCATGTCCTCGTAAATATCAAACTTCTTTAGGTATAACGTCATGCAATCTTCATTTCTTAAGTTTCTTTGTTGATTATCATCATTCCTAGTGACATTATGATTATCAGTTGTCTTTGAGGAACCTAGTCAAATAGTGTTCTACAAAAAAAATCCTTCGTACCATACTCATTTTCACGACATCCATCTTCTTCTCATATTCCTTCTTCATCGGCCAAATTTTAGATCCATACAACACATGTGGCCTTACAACCACCTTATAGAAACTTCCAGTAAGTTTCATTGGGGCCCTCTAATGGATGTTTTCCATTTTATCAATCCGTAAATCCGCATATATATATATATATATATATATATATATATATATATATATATATATATATATATATATGTATATATATCTTCTCTACTAATAAAACAGTACTAGAAACGCCACCTGGCATTCCCTTAGCCACTCACCCTTGCATTTTCCCGCTCAAAAATTATAAGTGAAGTTCCCACTTCGCCCTTCTATTCTCAAAAATAAAACTGTACACATCAAGAAACATAAATCTGACATCAGTAAATATATAAATCAGGAAATTTCAAATTTAATTCGGTGGAATATTGAAGATCAAATCAATCCCAATAAATCAGGTAATCAATTTAAATTCCATTTTATATCAATCCCAAAAAATCAGGAAATCAGTTTAGGAAGAGATGATATATTTCAATACAATTTCAGAAGTCAATACGATTTTAAGGGTCACGTATTCATCATCAGGTCAGCAAAACTACATTGCTCTTTACCTTTTAGATGTTCTATTTCATCTACATTCTTAATCGATTTCATCACTTTTCCCTCTATTTTTTTACCTGTTATGTATAAGAGTTTGATACATTGGTATTTCTTTATGTATATTCTGGTACATATAGTCACGATCTGTGTATGTCGATTTTTGGTTTTCTTAATATGTGTATCTTATATAACTGTATGTGATACATTAGAGTCATAGGACCATTCAATTTCTTCTACACCTATTTGCTTCCTCCAATGATTTGGTCCATCTAAATACTTAATCGTAATTAGGGTATTTGGATGGTTAGACCAATAATTCTTCCATAATGATTTTTCTTACATGACACGTTTTCTGAAAACTTGAAAATACTTTTATCAGTTGGTGGTTTCTTTTAACATCATATTCATATAAACTACAAACCTGTTGAAAAAGTAACTCAAATTATCAATTCATGTGATTTATCAAACCCGTTTAAATAATAAACAAAAAAATTACAAATTTCATTTTAAACTTCCTGTTACACTATATCCTATGTTTAGGAATCTACTCTCAAAGTACAATACTATATTTTGGAATTGATCATCTTTTAGTTTATTTTTCTAAATATATGTTTTATTGTCTATATGTACGTATATGTTTATATCTGTTTTTGAAAAGTATGTTTGCAAGTGATACAATTAAATATATAAATCAATCAGTGCTTTACGATTTTCCTGTTTATATCCTAATTTTTTTGTTAAATATACAGGTTTTTTCTGTTTAGTTTTCGATTTTTAGTTTTTTTCTCATTATATACCCTTAAGGGTATATCAGTAAATATGTAATTTTCTCATTGTTTTCTTGGTAACATCTACACTTAAATGATAAACAAAAGAATTGATTATTTCGTCTGATTTATCAAACCGTTTATATAATAAACAAAAAAGTATCAATTTCTTTTTGAAGTTCCTGTTACACTATATCCCATTTTTAGTAATTTATTCTCAAAGAACAATGCTATAATCTGTAATTTATCATCTTTTAGTTTAATTTTCTAAATATATGTGTGGTTGTCTATGTGTGTGTATCTCTTTAAAAATTCTGCAATTTCATCATTTTATGACCCCCATTTGCGAAGTTGAGTATTTATTTCCAAAAATGCGAAACTCCAGGGACAATATTTGAAAATTTGTTTTCTTCCCCAATTCGCATTCTACTGTGAAATACTTCGCATCTTCATTCTTACACCCTTCGCATCCCTTCGCATTAATCACCTTCGCATTTTAACCTAATTAATCAAATGCGAACCACAAAATTTTCATTCCAGATGCGAACACAGTTTAGTTCTTGAACTCTAAACTTGCGAAATCAAAAATTCATATGTTGAACCCATATGCGAATATTAACCCAATTGACTTCAAATTGATTCACAGATGCAAACACTCGATTGTTTTACTTTCGCAAAATGAGCATCAACAACTCCACAATCGAGTTTTTAAATTCTTGCAAACAACAATTTCACAGTCCTTGACTTCGCGTTTTTCTTCACGAATCATCCCTCAATCATCAATCCAATTGCGAATCAAAACTCATATGTTCTTGCTTTATCGATTCATCGACTACACTCATACAAATGCGAACAATACTCAATTTCAAAATCGATTGAAACTTATAGCAAAGCTAAATCCAACTTCGCATTCAAAGCACACAAGTGTTATTGATTGCATTCATGAAATACTAACAAGATAATATATTATAATACAAATATACATATTTTAGGTGGTGAAATCGTAACAGCCTAACAATTTGGTATGCAACTTTATTAAATCAATAAAAAAAGTTATGCAAATTGGAAAAATAAATAAAAATATATCTTTTGTTGTTTTAATTAAGGAAATAAATATTTTATATGAATACTCACCTGGAAAAACGCATATTATAATTGTCTAATTTAATCGTAACAGCCTACCAATGTACTTTCTTCTTGACTGTTTGATTGTTTTTTTCTGTGTGCTGATTATAATTGTCTAATTTAATGTAAATTTTTTTTTTAACTTGCAAGGTACAATGGAACATATTACTCCTATAAAGGAAATTGACTCAATCAAGGACGATTTCACAATTAAAGTTCGGATCATACGTCTTTGGACTCAAAAGTCAAGATTTGATGCGAACGACACATACTCGATAGAAATGATTTTGATGGATGAGGAGGTATAAGATGGATGTATTCAATTATTATTTTTATAAAAAATTATTCATACTCATAAGCAATTATATTATTCATACTCATAAGCAATTATATTTAAATATTTATTATTTCATTTATTTTAGGGAAGGAAAATTCATGCATCATGTGTGAAGAAATGGTTTCCTAAATTCAAGCGCTATTTAAAAGAGGATAGTTCAATTTACGTCAAGAAACCTAACGTCGCACCAAATACTTCAAAATTTAAGTTTGCTCATCCGGAATCAAAACTAAATTTTTATCACGATACAATTGTAAAAGATTGTGAAAACTTTTCTGGATCTGCACATGGCTTTCATTTTGTTGACTTCAATACTATCGTTTCTAACAACATCCTGGAGTCAAACTCTTTTGGTTGGTTTATTTAATATTAACTTTTGCTATATAACATCCTAAATTCTTTCTTCGTATTACAATTTGATATTTTATATTAAATTATATTTCCTTGCTTTTGTAGATATTATTGGACACATTTTTGAGTATGGGCATATGGATACCTCAGAACAAGATAAATCAAAACACAAGATGCTCTTGCATCTTCAAGATATAGAGTATTCACCATTATTACAAACAAGTAATATAGCTTCATTTATATTATTTACAATATTTGTTTATTATTTCAGGGATACTAAGCTTAAGATAACTTTGTGGGGTCATAATGCATACTACATGCATGATTTTCTTGCTAACAATAACAGCCTTGCTCCAGTTGTTGTTATTGTTCAATTTGCCAGGGTGAAGTTTATTAATGGTTTGTAACTATTTTTAACAAGCATAATCTAATATATATATATATATATATATATATATATATATATATATATTATTGAATAATCAAATTTATTTTGGCAGGTCGTCCTTTTTCATCCACCTACTTTGATGTTAGTAGGGTTTTCATAAACAATGATATCGATGAAATTACAATCTACAAAAACAAGTATTTTCATTTAGAATTTCCTATGTATTATCAGATTTATTTATTTCATACTATAATAAATTTAAATCATTTCTTTGTTGTAAATGAACAGATTGGTCTCTGAAAATGGACAACAACTGTCATCAAGTGGAATTAAAATGATTGCATCAAAACAAGACACAGAACATGATGACTTTCTGAAAAATCATTTGTTTTCTAACATTGAAGACTTGTTTGAACCTTTGGAGGTACTTTACATTATTTTTAAAATTGTTAGTTTAATGCACTTATGTTTTTAAATTTTAAATGTTTTTTCATATTTAGAGTATATTGTTATAACTAAACTAAAATACACTTTCGCAAAATAACATTTATTAACAATGAGCATTATTTTAATATCCAGGAAAAGACAGTCATTATTGTTGGTACTGTTAAGGGAATACGTCAAAATATACGTTGGTATTACCTTGCTTGTAGCAACTGCAAAAAGTCAGCAAAAGAAAAAGAGTCTTCAACTGATAAGGTTGATGGTTCTCATGAAGTGGCCGAAATCGTTACTTATGAATGTGCTAATCTTAAATGCAAAAATATCAAAATTTCGGTTATTCCAAGGTATTAGATATTAATTTTATATAATAATAATATATGTTTATCATAATTGTCTAATATAATATAATTTTATACTTTATTTAGATTTAAAATCCCACTTCGGGTTCAAGACAACACAGGAACATTGACTTTAACTTTATTTGACCAAGAAGCAAAGAAGTTGTTCAAATACACAGCTAAAGAGTTGTATGATAAAAACAAGAAGGTATTATTTTATATTTTAACTTGGCATCAGTTTGGATTTTTTTCAAAAGGTGTTTACAATTGTGTTGGCCTAAAACTTGGCATTATATATTTTACATACAAATTTTCTAATGATATTTATTTACATTTTAGCTTGGCAACAATTTGGAATTGTATCCAATGGAGTTGAAAGTTGTGTTGGACAGAAAGTTGGCAATTAAGATTGATATCACACGTTACAATGTCGATAATAAAAGTAATCTTTATGGGATATCAAGATTAACCGAGAATGCAGACATAATTGATGAATTGGAAAAAAATAATCTTACTCCACAGGTTTTTTTCAACAATTATATTTTGTTTTTTAACACATTGACCCAACAATATCTGACTCAATATCATTTGTTTTCATCTTGTGATGCAGCCTGCTAATTCTGATTCATTCTTGATTGGTTCTTCAGATGTTGGTTCTCATGACACCAAAGTTCTCAAGGTTTTAGTTTTTAAAATATATTTCTCAAATATTTTGTTTTAATTTATAACAACTAACTAAATATTTTTTTAGGATTCTTTTTCACAGACCGGTGAAAATTTAACTCCATGTGCTAGGGACAAGTCAACTGCAACAAGTCCTATAAAATTCATTTCTACACCAATTGAGTTGAAAAGAAACCTTGCTACATGCATAGATATTGATGAAATGGAGAATTTGTCTACTTCTAAATATCCTAGACTGTCACCACCAGATGAACAACCAACTCCTCTTTTGGTACCCAAGAAAGAAAAGTAAATGCATTTTACTTCGACAAACAATCTTACTTCGTGTTTAATTTTGATTTCGCATCATAGACTCCTAAGCCGTTTACGTTTTTATCTTTCTTGGTTTTGAATGTTTTTTTTTGGGATTTCATGGTTGTCATTTTTGTTTCTTGAAAGTACATTCGGACCATTGGGTTTTTTTGTAGTCCTATAATTTGGTTTGCCATGTTATTTTGTTTTTCCTACAACTTATTTTAAACTACATTGCTTTATTCCCACAAAATCTTGAAGAATTACATTCATATGTGTAATTATGCAGTTACTTATATGTTTCATTTTACATATCAATTTATTTGACATACCACTTTATTTTACCTAAATGTACTTCTGTATTTACACTATCTCTGTAATTAACTAACTTATTTACCCCTAATCAACTTAAACACATAATAACACGTGAACTGCATTTGACTCCAATATTGAACAAATCACATTTCACAGTCCTTCTTGACTTCGCATTTTTCTTCACGAATCGTCCCTCAATCAATAACCCAATTAACCCAATTGCTAATCAAAATCAAAACTTATCTGTTTTCATATGCGAACCCAACTGATTGGCTTTTCAAAATCAAATTCGCAACTCCAAATCGTTCGATTATTCGCCCCAATTCCAAAATCAAATAACAGATCCTTCGTATGATTCATTTAATAACCAAGGCTTCTTTTACTTCAAAATGACCGTATTGCCCCTAACTTGATAAGTATTTCATATATCGCAATTAACAATTAAGACAAATCAATCAATCAATCAATTTGTATAAGAAAAATGCGAAATTCTTAGCTTTCTTCCCCAATTCGCATTCTACTGTAAAATTCACATTCTTCATTCACCCTCTTTCTTCGCATGTTCCAGTCATTTTTTTTTTAGTTCATTCGCATTTGAGTTGTTTGTCTCACCAAATACGAAATGAATATTAACCATAATCACCTTCGTATCTTTAACCCCAATCCATACAACCTCATATGCGAAACCCAATTTTGATTTGTATTACCAAATGCGAACATTTTTGCTTTTACACGTGAACTGCATTTGACTCCAATATTGAACAAATCACATTTCACAGTCCTTCTTGACTTCGCATTTTTCTTCACGAATCGTCCCTCAATCAATAACCAATTAACCCAATTGCTAATCGAAAATCAAAACTTTCTGTTTTATATGCGAACCCAACTGATTGGCTTTTCAAAATCAAATTCGCAACTCCAAATGGTTCGATTATTCGCCCCAATTCCAAAATCAAATAACAGATCCTTCGTATGATTCATTTAATAACCAAGGCTTCTTTTACTTCAAAATGACCATATTGCCCCTAACTTGATAAGTATTTCATATATCGCAATTAACAATTAAGACAAATCAATCAATCAATCAATTTGTATAAGAAAAATGCGAAATTCTTAGCTTTCTTCCCCAATTCGCATTCTACTGTAAAATTCACATTCTTCATTCACCCTCTTTCTTCGCATGTTCCAGTCATTTTTTTTTAGTTCATTCGCATTTGAGTTGTTTGTCTCACCAAATACGAAATGAATATTAACCATAATCACCTTCGTATCTTTAACCCCAATCCATACAACCTCATATGCGAAACCCAATTTTGATTTGTATTACCAAATGCGAACATTTTTGCTTTTACACGTGAACTGCATTTGACTCCAATATTGAACAAATCACATTTCACAGTCCTTCTTGACTTCGCATTTTTCTTCACGAATCGTCCCTCAATCAATAAACCAATTAACCCAATTGCTAATCCAAAATCAAAACTTCTGTTTTATATGCGAACCCAATTGATTGGCTTTTCAAAATCAAATTCGCAACTCCAAATGGTTCGATTATTCGCCCCAATTCCAAAATCAAATAACAGATCCTTCGTATGATTCATTTAATAACCAAGGCTTATTTTACTTCAAAATGACGATATTGCCCCTAAATTGATAAGTATTTCATATATCGCAATTAACAATTAAGACAAATCAATCAATCAATCAATTTGTATAATAAAAATGCGAAATTCTTAGCTTTCTTCCCCAATTCGCATTCTACTGTAAAATTCACATTCTTCATTCACCCTCTTTCTTCGCATGTTCCAGTCATTTTTTTTTTACTTCATTCGCATTTGAGTTGTTTGTCTCACCAAATACGAAATGAATATTAACCATAATCACCTTCGAATCTTTAACCCCAATCCATACAACCTCATATGCGAAACCCAATTTTGACTTGTATTACCAAATGCGAACATTTTTGCTTTTACACGTGAACTGCATTTGACTCCAATAATGAATATTAACCATAATCACCTTCGCATCTTTATGTTGATTATTTTAAACATGGAACATTTATGTCTATTATTTATAATAACTATTATTTTTGTCACGATAAATATGTTATTTTTAATAAATAATCAATAACCAATTGTAAACAAAATTTATATCTTTCATTCTCTAAAATTAATTCATACATTTTTGTAATGGTTGCAGCATATTTACTTATCTTCTGTAAATAACCTATATTCAACCAACTATTTCCTAATATTCTATACTCCTTTTTTAGATGAAATTTGAATATTAAACTAATTTTTAGTTGTAATCTTTTAAATTCCAAAAAATCAGGAAGAAAATTATATCTAATAAAGATCCAACAACAATAAAATCATATAATCGTAATCTTTTTCCAATATTCAAGCATATAACTTTAACTCAAAACGTGAAATCCAAAATTTTGAAACACCTCATTCGTCTTCTTAATGTTCAATTGTTTCTGCGATTTTTTTTTCATTAAGCTTACATCAAACTGCTTCGTTAAAGTTGTAATCCTCATTCCAGTTCTACCTGCAAGATTTCCATATCCATATGTCAGGTTAGTATTATCAGTTTAGATCACTTTGTTTTATCTATGAATTTATGGTTGAAATTTACAACAATAATCAATATGCTGGAATAGATGTTTTTCTAATTGTAAAAATATAATCTTGAATAGATACATAAGATCAATAAGCAATTTATAATCATCACGATTATCGTGTATCACACAATTTTACCTTCATTGATTCCATGGAGATCTAGGGTTTTAACCCCTGATATCATCCGAACCCACGATTGGTTGAAATTGGGGAAACAGTAGATTTAAATCTAATAAACCCTAGGTTGGAAATGAGGATGATGAGTCATGATGCTAACATTTTAATAAACAAATTAATAAAGGTAACTTTTTAAATACATTTACTTTATTATCATTATTTATTTAATTCTAACTAACTTCAATTGTATTATATAAACATATTATGTACATAATTTCACATTTCATTTCCTAACCTATGTCTTCTTATGCAGAAAACAACAGTAACATGTACCACATGCAGGCCAAAGAGAAAAGAAGACAAAGAAAAATATATTTGGAAAATAAAAGATCGAAGAAAATAAAAACAATACCAAACGTTCCAAGTATATCATTACAGCATCTCTTCAAAAAAACCATTAACTATAACCGTATTAGTATTTTATATTCCATCTTTTACTATTATATAGTTGAATACATATATTTACAAGTTTTATAAGTTATTTCTATTTGCAGATCAATCAACCAACATTGTTCGTCAAACTCAAAATGTCAATTCATTTACAACACCTGCAAAGCATAACACAACCATACAATACTGTCCTTCCTTTACAGATGTTAGAACTCCATTTTCTAACATTACAAATGTTATAAATCCGTTATCTAACATTACGAATGGTAATTATTTTTGGTTTTTAAAATATACTATTATCCATTATGTAAATATTTATTTATTTAGTTAACTATTTTATTTTTATTTTATTCAGATAACATTGGTTTCGATAAATATATCACTTCCAAGTTAGCAAAGAAAAGACAGTACCATGTACTTTCAAATGATATGACATCAAAAAATGCATCTACAGTAACAACTTCTTCATCATCAATCAAGTTAAATCCAGGATGTCATAAATTAAAAACGAAGACAAGACATTTATCCCCTATCCCATTGATTGATTTGACAGAAGATGTAGAAAATATACATCAAGTGAACAATGAAAATCGTATAGTTGGTATCTCAAATGGTAATGAAAAAATAAAATCCATTTTACATTTCAGATACTATGTTCTATATAATTATAAAATTCATTGATATTTTATTCAACGCTTTTATTTTACAGAATATTTGGATCATGGTGATAACTTTTATTCTTTATGCAGGAACAAACAATAATATGTACTACTTGCAAGCAAGAGAGAACAGAAGACATAGAAAATTATATTTGGATAATAAGAGATCGAAGAAAAGGAATACAAAATACACTGTTCAAAATCCGTCTACACCACATGTCTTGAAAAACACGGATAACTGTAATTTTTTTTTTTTTTTAATTTTTACACTTCATTAACCTATATAAAAAATACATACATTCTCATCATTTTATATTATTCCCCTGTAGTAATATAAAATTTGAAATTGTAATTTTTAATTTATAATATATGTCTTCAATTTTTATAACATGTTGTTTTTTACAGATCAATCAAAAAACGTTGTTCAACAAAATGAAAATGTCTTTTTCTATAGATCACGTGGAAACCAAAGTACACCCCTACAATCTTCTCTTCATGT